GGTGTCCCCCCAGGAACCCACCCATGCCCCTTCTGAGATTTCCTCTTCCTCCCCCAGAAACCCCCTGTGGACCCCCCAAAGCTCCCTGGACCTCCCCAGGAGCACCCCTGGGACCCACCTTTTGACCCTCCCTGGCTCCTTTGGGTTTCCCCCCATTCCCTATTCCCCCCCTGAGCCCCTCAGGCCTCCGCCCCCTCCGGTGACAGCCCCTCCTGTGTGTCCCCAGGCGCTGGTGGCCGCGGGGCTCCCCGGGGGGGCCCTGGCGGTGCTGCCGGGGGCGTCTCAGGGGTCCGGGGCTAAACTGGCACGACACCACCCTGATGGGCTGTGGCTTTGCGGGGCAGACACGGTGAGTGGGGCCAGGGGGCACAGGGTGTGGGGGGGTTGAGGGGGCCGGGGAGGACACCAAACCCCGCTCTTGGGGGTCCCTGCAGCACTAGGGGGGTCCCCAGCAGTGGGGGTGCCCCCCGCTGTTAGGGGCTGTCCTCCCACTCACCCAGCACTGCCTCCCCCCTCTCCCAGGACTGGACCTCGGCCCTGAGTGTCCCCCGTGTGTGGGGGGTCCCGGCAAAGCTCGTGGAGGCTGCGGGGCAGGACCCCCCTCCCAGCGCCGTGCGGGAGCTGGAGCTGCGCTGCACCCGCCCCCACTGCCTCTGGGTTCCGGGGGGGGCACCCTGAGCCCCCCAAAACCTCTGGTGATCTCTGACCTCGCACTGTGATCCCCCTGCCCTGTGACCTCCACCCCAATAAACCCTCCCCAGCCGCAGCCCTTGTCGTGTCTGTGCCTGTTAAAGGGGTTCTGGGGGGATCCTGGGGAGTCTCGGGGGGGGGAGAGGGGGGTGAGGGGTCGCCCCGCCTCCGCACGTGCCCGGACGCGCCCCCCCCTCGCTCGAAGCAGCCGCACCCAGAGCTCGGCGGGGCCGTGCCGGGGCGGGGGGGTGTCCCGGACGTCGCGGAGCCCCCTCGGGAGCGGGTGGGGGTCCCCCGTGGTGAGGGGTGGGCGAGGCCGGGAGTGTCCCCCGGGAGGGCTGGGGGGAAGGTCCCGGACGCCTGGGTGCCCCCCCGGCTTTCCTGGGTTCTGCCCCCGGCACGGTCCCACTTTCGCTTTCGGCGGCAGCTCCGCCGCGGCCCGAGGGGGGTCCCGGGGGGCCCTTTTGGGGGGGGTGGGGGGGTGTGTCTCGGGTCCCCGTGCGCCCCCCCCAGCTCGGCATCGCCATGGACTCGAACCCTGCCAGCTCTGCTCTGGTAAGTGGGGCCCTTCGTGCGCCCCCGGCCCTCCCCGCGCCCCTCTGGGATCCCTGTGAGACCCCCTCGGGGACCACCAGCCCTCCCCCGGATCCCTCCCAGGTCCCCCTCCTGCTCCTTCTGGCCGCGCCAGCCCCCGGCGGCTGCTGCTCCTTCGATTTTAACCCCGTCAGCAGCACCTTCAGCACCCACCTGAACAAGCTGGTGAGACTCCCCCCCTCTCCTCCCCAGGACTTCCCCCGTCCCCCTCCCCCGAGACCCCCACACCTTTAGGACCCCTCAAACTCCTCTGGGATCCTACAGACGCTTTATGGGACCTCTGGGACCCCTCTGAGACCCAAAGGATTCCCCATGACCCGCCCCCTGCCCCAACACCCTAAACTCCTTCTCTTCCCAGGGAGAGTCCCACCCTGGGTCCCGAAAACCCCCTGACCCCCATCTGCCATTTGGGACCCCCTGAGCTCCCCTCCCCCACTACCTCTCTGGGCTCTCTTTGGGGACCCCCCGACCCCTCCTGCAGACCCCCTGGCTGCTCCTCGACTACCCTGTGGCGATGCCCAGCAACTTGGAGCCGGTGAGCGAGACCCCCGTCATCCCTGGCCCCCTGACCCCCAACTCCTGCAGCCCCCTGACATCCCCCCGATCCACCCAACCCCTGACCTGTGTCCCCCCAACACCGGCCCCCCCCTGGCCCCCCAGGACAGCGGCTGCTCCCCTCTGTGGGGGCTTCACTACGGGGCGGCGGCGCTGCGGCGCATGCTCGGGGTGGCGGGGGAGGGCCTGGCCCCCCTGCTCAGCACCTTCATCGCCCACCTCAGCTTCGTGGCCGAGTGCCACATCCAGGTGAGTGGGGGGCTCCAGGGAGGGTCCCTGGGGGAGGTGGTTCCTCCCCAGGGGCTGGGGAAGACTCTGGGGGTCCTGAGAGGGGATGGGGGACACTGGGAGGCTCTGGGGGAGTGGGGGGCTGTAGGGACTCTGATGGGGTTGGGGGTCCCCTCAGGGGGCTCTGGGGACCCTGCAGGCATCTGTGAGGGGGGAGGGTCTCCAGGGAGTTCCAAGTAATTAGGGGGGTCTCAGAGGGGCTCTGGGGACCCTGCGGGGGTTGGGAGGTTCTCTGGAGTGTCCAGGGTAACTCCAGGGGTCTTGGAGGGGGGGGCCACCAGGCAGGGCTGAGTGAGCTCTGGGGTTGGCACCCCCAGGGAAGGGGGGGTCGAGGAGGGGTTTGGGGCTCTCTGGGGGCTCCCATGACAACTCCCCCAGGACCCTCAGGGCTGTGTCCGGCTGGAGACGGTGAACGTGTCGCAGCTGCTGGAGACCCTCGGGCAGCACCTGCGGGAGCTCCAGGGGCGACCCCTCCACTTCCCTGGCTGTGCCCACCTGCGCTGCCACCCAGGTACCGCCCCCAGACCACCAAGAGATCCCCCCCCAGCACTACCCCAGGACCCCACTGATCCCTCCCTGTCTCTCCCCAGACCCCCCCAGACTGACCACCCCCACAGTGCAGCTCGAGGGGACCCTGGGGGCCAGGCAGGGCCCCCCCCACCCCGGCAGCCACGGGCTGGCACTGCTGGGGGGGCTTGGGGGCACCCTGAGCCTGGCGGCGGCAGCCTGGGTGCTGTGGAGGCGGCCCTGTGCCCAGGTGAGGGCACTGGGGGGCACTGGGGGCAGGGAGGGCACTGAGGATGCTGGGGGGCGCTGGGGGCGCGGGGGACACTGGGGGCACTGGGAGGATGGGAGGTGCTGGGTGTGTTGGGGACACTGGGGGCGCTGGGGGTGTTGAGTGTGCCTCCCCTCTGCGCCCCCCCAGCCCTCCCAGGGCCCCCCGACATTGGAGCAGGATGGGACCTGAGCAGCCAAGCAGGAGTTGGGGACAGACACAGGTACTGTGGGGGTGGGGGCGTCCCCAGGGGGACATTGAGCTCTCTGGGGGAAGGCAGGGGAGGGCCCCTGAATGGCAGAGGCCTCACCTCCTGCCCCTGTTCAGGCTGGCCTGAGCCACTGGTGACCCAGGAGATGGGGACCCCCCCAGCACCCTCCCGGGGGGCTGCAACAGGACTTCCCAGAACCACGGAGAGCCAGGGCCCCAACCTGGCCCCCCCGCAAGGCCCATAAAGCTGTTGAAACCCTGACTCTGAGCCTGCTCTGGGAGGAGAAGGGACGAATTTGTGGGACCTGGTGGGTGTGGTGAGGTGGTACAGACCAGGCTGGACGCAGCAGGCTGGCCCTGTCCTTGCCCCACAGCTCTTTATTGGGGGGCAGCTCACAGGGGCGGGGGTTTCTGGTAACGCAGCTGGGGCTGGGGCCAGCGGGGGGGCAGGAGGTAGAGCAAGGCCAGCAGGGCCAGCAGTGTCAGTGCCCACGGCACCCACGGTGACGCCCGCGGGGCTTGTGGCGGGGCTGGGTCCTCACGGCTCCCTGCCGGGGCTTTGGGCACTGCTGGCCCCGAGTCCTCCTCTGAGTCCTCCTCCTGCTCCGTGTCCCCTGTCCCCTGGGCAGAGCGGTGGGCCGGGGGTCACACAGAGGGGGTCAGCGGCTGTGGGGAACCCACAGGGACCCCCGTGCCCCCTCCCTTACCGGGCTCGGTGCCGCCGTGGCTGTGATGTCTGTGGCCTGGTCGAGGGGGCACCATGGGCGCCTGTGGGAGGAAGAGGAGGGGTGAGAGTGAGAAGGAGGAGCAGGAGCCCCATGGCACAGCTGGACCAGTGGATCTCCCCGTTTCTGCCAGACCTAGTTCGGGCCCTTTCCTCCCCATTTCTGAGCCCTGGGAGCACTGGGAAGACTGAAGCGATCTGGAGCTGGGCTGCTGGCCAGCGGGATGCCATGCGGCCCCCCGGAGCCACAGCTGGGCTGACATGTCCCCATTCCTCCCCCCGCTTCACCCCCACGTCCTCCCCGCCCCTGTCTCCCCGCCAGCCCTGCATACATGGCCCAGGCGTCCCTCATCCGGCCCAGCTGCTGCCTCAGCTGCATTGTCTCCAGCCGCAGTTCCTGGCGGGAAAAAGGGGCATTTTCAGCAGCCTCCACCCCTGGAGACGGTGGCCACCGTGGGGGTCTGCTGTGGCCCAGGGGCTCCGTGTCCCCCATCCTGAGGGGCTGGCTCTGGACATGTTGTACCTGCACAGCCCGGTCATACTCCTCCAGCGCCACCGCCAGCTCCTGCGCCCGCCGCCCCGCCTGCGGAACAGGCCCAGCGTGAGGGGCTGCGGGGGGCTGTGGGGGTGGCTCTGGGGGGGACAGGCAAGGCACTGGCAGTGTCACTGAGCAGCGCTCACCTGGGCAAGGGCAGCATCCCGGGCAGAGAGGAGCGCGGTGCCACGGCAGAGCTGGGCCTGGGCGGAGGGGAGGGGACATAACACCATCCCCGGCACTGACCGACGGGGAGGCCACTGCGGCCACCACCGGCACTTACCTCCAGGTCAGCCACGCGGGCTGCCTGCGCCTGGATCTGCTCCCGCAGCCCCTGACCCTCGGCGATCAGCCGCTGGTTCTGCTCGAGGCAAAGAGGGGCTGGGGTTCGCCTCAGCACCGCGCCACCAGGGCAGCCCCTCGGGCCCGGCCTCACCTCCTCCTGGAGACCCTCGGCCCGCAAGCACAGGCTCCGCTGCTCCTTCTCCTGGGGAAGGCGGGCATGGGGCTGTGCGCTGGGGGTGGGGTAAGAGCCACGGTGTGGTGACCCCACGCCTCAGCCGCGCCGCTCACCATGTGCCGCGCGTGCCGCCGGAGCTCGCCGTTCTCCTCCTCCAGCCCCTTCGCCACAGCCTTCAGGTCCTCCAGCTCCTCGGCGGCCGCCCTGGCCTGCTCCAACGCCTGCCGGCTGCTGCCAGGGAGCAAAAGGGCACAAAGGTACTTCGGTGTCCCTGGAGCACCCAGGCAGAAGCCACCGCCCGGCGCCGGCTCCGCACCTCCGCAGCTGAGCCTGGAGCTGAGCCGTCTCCTCGGCCAGGCGGGCGTTCAGCTCCTCGGCCAGCTCAGCGTCCCGCTGCAGCTTCGTGTTGTGGGCGGCCAGCTGCCTGGCACGGCTGCGCAGCCCGGCGGCTTCAGCGCTGCCAGGGAGTTCCACCGGTCTGGGGGTGCTCCGGGGCTGAGCTCACTCACCACCAGCCCCGGAGCACGGCCAGGGCCGGGATGTCCCCGAGGCCAGCACTTACAGGCTGGTGGCATCCATGTCACCACTGTCACCCTGGAGCTGGGCGGCTGCCAGGGCCACGCGGCCATCCTCCTCTGCAGGGCAGGGACACGAGACATCGCGCTGGTGTCCCCCACTGTGGCCCCCCCACCCTCATTTCCCCTTCCTGCACTGACACCCACCAGCCAGTGCCGGGCTGGGCTCGCCTGTCTCCGTGTCCTCCCGCTCCTCGCCGAGCCATGCACTCCTGCGGGGACGCAGAGTCATCCGTGGGCATGTGGAGGACCGGCACTGACCTGTCCTGCTGGCCTTGGGACTGCCCCGTCCTCCTACACTGACCCCATTACTGACCCGTCCTGCCGACACGCCGCGATCCAGGTGCCCATGGCCACGCGGAATTGGGGCAGGTCCAAGGCGGCCCCTGAGGCCGCAGGGTCCAGCGCCCGCCGCAGCTCCCTCAGCCGCCCCTCGTGCCCGCTGTGCCCCGTCACCGCTGCCACATACTCGACCACCCGCTGCGGCAGCACCATCCCTGCAGCGGGCAGCGGTCAGGGCCGAGGGTCCCCAGCCCCGGGGGGGGTGTCTGGCCCCAGCCCACTCAGGCCCAGAGGGATTTGTCCTGTCCACCTGTGTGCTCGGGGTCACAGGCGGCGAAGGTGCAGTCGAGGGCAAACTCGTCCGAGCACCCGCTCTCGGCCGGGGCTGGGGGAGAAACGGCGGGTCATGAGGGGGTTCCCGGCTCTCCCTCCCACCTCCCGCGGGCCCTCACGGTCCCCACCCAGCAGGGGCCCGGTGGCTCCCGGGGAGCAGGGGCCCTCTGCAGCCATCCTGAGGGGTGGGTTGGGGGTTCCCCCCTGCCCCGGGGGCACGATCGGGGGTCGGGGGTGCTGTTCTGAGGGCCCCGGGGGGGCCGCGGGCCTCAGGCGGGTCGGGGGGGCCCGTCGAGGGGGGGCGTGGGGTGGAAATCCCCTCACGGCGGGGAGGGGGCGGGGCCTGGCGCGAGCCGTTCCCGCCCAGAGGGGAAAGGGGCGGGGCCCCTTTAGCGGGCCCAAACACAAGGGGCGGGGCCAGGGGCGGGGCCAGGCGCGATGGGCACGTGTCGTCCTTCGCGGGTCGGGGGTCCCTGTCCCGGTCCCCGACTCTGTCTTGCTGCTTCCTGCCGGCTTTATTGAAAGACAGAACTCTGGCAAACACCTCCCCCCCCCCGCCCTTCCACCATTCCCCGGCCTCTCAGAGCCCCCGCAGCAGCTTCTCATAGTGCGGGTCCAGGTTCCTGACCAGGAACATCGACAGCATCAGCAGGGTGAGCTAGGAGCAGAGAGCTGAGTCAGCAGCCTGACCTGCCCGGACCTCTGAGACCCCCCC